TCAGCTCCTCTGTCTTGTCCAGCCATGGCTGCTCGCTTGGCCTCACTGACCACAGCCCTTGCTTTTCTCTCTTCTCCTACAGGCAATGACAGATTCCTTAAGAAGCAATTCCTGAGCTCCTGAACTAGACCAGGTTGCTCAGAGCCCTGTCAAACCTGACCTGGAATGTCTGCAGTGATGGGATCTCCAGCATTTCTTTGGGAAACCTGTGCCCGTGCTTCATCCCCCTCAAAGAATGGAACTTCTTCCTCAGGTCTACTCTAAATCTGCCCTGCTCTAGTTTAAGGCCATTGCCCCTCATCCTATTGGTACATGTCCTTGTAAACAGTCGCTCCCCAGCTTTCCTGGAGCCACTTCAGGTACTGGAAGGTGCTTGAAGGTCTCCCTGGACCCTTTTTGGACCACCTTTGTGGCCTCCTCTGGACCTGCTCCAACAGCTCCATGTCCTTCCTGTATTGAGGGCTCCAGAGCTGGACTCAGCACTCTAGGTCTCACCAGGGCAAAGTAGAGAGGCAGAATAACCTCTCTCCATCTTCTGGCCACGCTTCTTTTGATGCAGCCCAGGATGCGATGGGCCCTCTGGACTGCCAGTGCCCATTGTTGGCTCATGTCCACCAATTCCCCCCCAAGTCCCTCTCTGCAGGGCTGCTTTATCACTCATTCCCCAGCCTGTACTGATAAAAAGGATTGTTCCTACCCAGGTACAGGACCCTACCCTGAGGTGAACCTCAGAAGGTTCACCTGGGCCCACTTCTCCAGCTTGTCCACATCCTGGATCTTCCACATGGCCCAGCCACAATGGGCACTGCAGCATTTTGTCTCCCCCCACCAGCTTTTAGTTCTGTTTTCTCCTACCCATCCCACTCAGTCCTGGTTGGGCCTCCCCAGGACACTCACCTCTCCTTGGGGAGCAGGGGCAGGCAGGACGTGGCAGGTGCTGCCAGCTGCACAATGAGGAGCTGAGCCACCACCAGCAGCACCACAGTACCAGTGGCACCACAGCACCACCAGCACTAGCACCAGAGCAGCACCAGAGCACCAGCACCACCAGCACCACCGGAGCACCAAAGCACCAGCAGTACCACAGGTCCAGCACCACAGCACCAGCAGCACCAGAGGACCAGGTCCTGTGTGTGCAGGCCCCAGCCCCAGCTCTAGGGACACTTGGTGACACCACAATGTGCTGGTTGCTGGGCAGAACCAGGGGGGCCATGGAGGCCAGGGACACAGGGGGGCCCCAGGCCACCTCTCCAAGGCTTCCATGCCCCTATGCACCCTGTGCACCCAGTGTCCTTCTCCCCCAGCCCCTCCTCAGGGCTCACCCACCTGGCAGTCTGACAGGCTGAG